ATCAGACTCAGCCCTTCCATTACTCTGATACCTTCCTCCTCTTTCACAAACCATTCAAAATAAGCTTAATTGTTCTTTTCAGACACATGCCTCTAAAGTACGCTCCTTCCTCCTCTCCTCTCCCATTAACGATGAGACCTGTTTTATCATTTATCCTCAGTCATTTTTTCTGTATGCTAATGATTTAAAGGGTTTTCACCATGTTATTTCATACACATATATACAGTTTATTAATCATATTGACCCCTCAATTACTCTAACTTTTCCTATTCCCCCTACCTTCTATTATTTAATAGCTTTTAGTGAGTTCCATTTTGCCACTTTCATTCATGGGTGTAAACGCATTTTGATATTGTTAATATTCTAGCATTCATTTGCTTTCCTTTCCAAGTGCCCTCCAACAGTCTCACAACTACAAACAAGTTCAGCTCTATGTGCACATCTGTACCTATTTATGATCCTCTGTGTGCTTAAATATGCACATATGATAAAAAATGTGATCATTGTCCTGAAATTAATTGATTTCACATCACATGACAAACTTCAGCAAATGTCCAATTCTTAATCACTTTGAAGAACACTTGTTTTCAGAATACCTGGTGATAATTGCTATTGCTCCTCTGTAATGATTATACCCTTATACACATAAAAGGATATATTTGTATCTAATAATGAGGTTTTGAATTTGAATCCTCTTACATTCTTGCTGCTCACTCTTGCTAGTTTTTGCACAAAGTACATGTATGAACACCGCCTAGAGCTTACTAGATGCCTTCTCTGGCTCAATCCATTGAACAAACAGTCATTTTAACTAGAGCCACAAATGATCAATATGCATGTTAAAATCTCAGAAGCACTAGCATACATATTAGATAGATTTCTTTTGACAAATTTCAAGAACCTTCAAAGACCCAGTTTCCTCATTGAAAAATAGGACCAATAATGCTTACTAAACCACAGTATTAGAAGGAATAACTAAATAATGCTACATAATAATAAACATTCAATAAAGTCTACCTGGTATTAAGTTCTATCATCTACCTGTGATTTACCCATTCATGACTTCTGTGCCATATTTTGCATAAAATTACATTGGTACAATACTCAGGTAAATCAAAGCTCCTTTAATCCAGGTTCCTTACTGAATACAAGCATACAGCAAAAATAGACATGAATTAATAATACCATCTTGCTTGCATTCATTTACAACAAAATGTGGCACCTGCTTTACAATTAAACATATTTCTCTACTAAATAATGTGGTTTCTATTTTTTTGTAGAATCAAAGAAGTTCAATAAAGAATTTGGTATGCAAACAAACGTAAGTGTGTCTTGTAGATATAAAATCTAAATAATGGGGCTGGGAAGGTGGCTCAGTGGTAGAGCGCTTGTCTTGCATGCATGAGGCCCTGGGTTCGATTCCTCAGCACCACATAAGCAGAAGAAAAACAAAAGCCAGAAGTGGCGCTGTGGCTCAAGTGGTAGAGTGCTAGCCTTGAGCTGAAGAGCTGAGGGACAGTGCCCAGGCCCAGAGTTCAGGCCCCACGACCGGACTCCCCCCCAAAAAAATCTAAATAATGCTATACTAATTAGCCCCATGCCTTCTATATTCTGAGAACATGTACTTAGATGGTCACCAATACACACAGGACTCAAATAATATACCAAGTGCCCGATCTGAAACTGTACAGAAGTCATAGGAGTTTCAAAAGGCTTCCATTTTAACTTAATTCAGTCAATATACATGGTTTCCTTCTACCATCTTTGCCATGGCAGTTTGATAGTTGGATTACCTGTTACTATATCTACAGAAATAAAAAGCAGTCAAGAAAAACCACTATATATAGAAACATTTTTCAGCTGCCACTGAATATTAGTCACTTAAATATAAAGTACCTGAGTTTTACTAGGCAACTTTTTGTTGCAAACATTTACATGACTAAATCTTTCACAGCATATAATCCCTAAAATCAAAGATAATAATGTTTTGAATTCTTCATTCATGACACTTTATCTTCCCATGGATTACTGCTATACATGATACATGTTTAAATTAAATACTTCAACTGCTATCCACATGGAATAATATTTCCTAGACACTCTTGTCATATATGCAATATCCTATGACCTTAAGAATCATGGCAAAATGAGTTATAAGCGCCTGACATGTGCCTAAGAAAGCATGAAAAATGTTGAGGATCAAAGTAATATAAAGCTAAAGATCTGAACCATAAGGAATGAATAAACAGAAAATAATGGGGGATCTTGGGACAAGTATCTATTAGCAGTAAAGAAATCTATAGAAACAAAAGACCTCAAGCTAATCTCTTATATTATTTCTAAGGAAACATCCATAAAAACTTTGTAAAAATAAATAAATAAAAGAAGCCTCTAAATAGCAAAAATATAGTTTAAAAATAGGACAAAATCCGGGCGCTGGTGGCTCACGCCTGTAATCCTAGCTACTCAGGAGGCTGAGATCTGAGGATCACGGTTCAAAGCCAGCCCAGGCAGGAAAATCTGTTAGACTCTTATCTCCAATAAACCACTCAGAAAACCAGAAGTGGCACAGTGGCTCAAGTGGTAGAATGCTAGCCTTGAGCTGAAGAGCTGAGGGACAGCGTTCAGGCCCAGAGTTCAAGCCCCATGACCAACAAAAAAAAAAAAATAGAAGGACAAATCACACTAATTACTAATTGTTCCAATTTAGTTTTAGTCAATAAATCTTCATCCTTTTGGAGATTTTCTTAGATAAACACACTAAGTCTATAAATTAGGCTTAAAAACTAATGGTTCAAGAATACTCGAGATTCTTGAGACCAAAAGCATGATGTGAGACTTTGCTTTTTATATACCCAGCTTGAAAAAGATCAGTTTTTTACATAGTTTACTTTTCCCCAGTGATCTCTGGGGAGAAGATGGTCATGGTCGATCAGTAGAAAAAAGTTAATTTGAATTGTAGCCTAAAATTACAAACTAACATTACTTTCAAGTGTATTAAGTATGTAAATATGAAAAATGTAAGTACTTAATTTTTTTTTAATATGTGCACATAACATTGAGGTAGGGAAAGACTTACTAAACAGTATACCCAATATAGTAATAATTAAAGGAAAACCTGACATTGCCTGTATATAATTAAGACTTTATTAAAACGCATGATAAAGATGACAGGCAAGCAACAAAACAGAAAATAAAGAATATTTACATAAACTAACAGCATGTGTAAATTCAATTAATTACCTTTGCTTTTAGTACCATCAATGTCAACAGAAAATTCAGAAAATAATAATCGATAAATTATCATTTGTATGGCCTTCTGGATAACATGGTAAAATCTTGTTTCTGTGTAGGATTTGAATCATCTTTTTGTCCACCATATCCACACTGTATGCTTCTTCCTTCCTGATAGTCATTTAGTGGTGTAGCCATCCTGGTTATTAAATCAGCAGTCAAAGTACAGCAATGGTTATGTTTACATAATCTTTATGAGGTAGCCTAATGTCGCATCACAGTCCCTACAACATTCACTTCCCTTCATTCATCGGGTAACAATCATAGCACAGCATCTTACAACTTTCCAAAAAGAGACAGTACAGTAAAATAAAATATTTGGAGAGAAAGAATGAATACATCTCTATAAGTTCTATTACAGTAGATAGTTATCAGTGTCTTATTATTAATTATTGTTAATCATATTTTTAATTTATAAACTAAGCTTTATTGTAGCTATGTGAAAACAGGAAAATATAGCAGTGTTGGAACTATTTTTCCCTAAGTTTTTCACTGAACAATGCAACCAACCACTGATCGAAACTAATAAAAAAAAAAAAAAGGAAGATTGCTTTATGATGAATATGTACCATATAGATTTTTTTCCTATTATTCCTTAACCTATATAGTAAAAATAGTTACATGGCTTTTTTATTGTATTAGATATTACAAGTAACATAGAGATGATTTAAAGTATACAAGAGAATGTATTGGATTATCCAGAAATACTACATTAATTAGTACAAGGAGCTTGTGCATCTGTACATAGGAGGTTCCAAATCTACAGTGAGACAATCTCCCATTGATACTAACAAATATTATATAGGTTCTAGTACTGTTCGGTTTCAGACACCCACTGCAATTTTGGAACATTCCCCCAGTGGATAAGGCAATATAATAGAAACATAGTACTGGAGAAAAAAGGGGTCTCTGAAGACTATGCAAAAAATATAATGTGAATAAAGCTCAAAAATAGGCAAAATAAACAGCATCTTGTTCAGCAAAACAGTTATATAATAACATTTAGATGTAAGCAAAAAAGTAATAATTTATTATTTAACATGGTACCCACCTTTTGTAGAAAGGTGGATTGATAAAATGAAAATACTATTGCTGAGCTGCTTGATAGGGAGATATCAAAAAATCAAGGCCAATCTAGGCAAATGTTAGTGAGATTTCACTTCAACATACAAACTATATATGTTTTATATCTGTAATCCCAGTTGCATAGGAAGATGTGATAGGAGAATCTAGTCGGTAGCTGCACTTGAGCAAAAAGTGTAAGACTCTATCTGAACAATGACCTAAAGCAAAAAAATGTGGTTCAATTGGTAGAGTGATTATCCAGCAGATACAGGGCCCAAGTTCAAATCCAAATACTACCAAGAAAGAAAAAAATAATGAGCAACACAGTTTAAAGGTGCTAGTAATATTCATGGGTTTTATGTGAATAGATTTAAACATTCATTTACTATTATGTATAATGGGTTGCAAATATAACCATTAAATAGATTGCAAAAATGTAATAGTAATATAAAAGCAAAATAGCATTTTGTGAAAAGCTATCTGATTACTTGCGATACCTCAAGAATGATACCTGATTTTGTTATGAACAAAGTTATCAAGGTGAAGAAAAGGCATTAAACAAAGTGTTCAAATAAAACAAATTTTAAAATGTAAGTAATAAAGCAAAGACAAATGATAGAAAATAGGCCCATAAAACTCACCACGAGGGCTTTCGATCTGTTGCTGAGAAGTTTCTCGATGTCTCTAGCTGCAATTTCTACCAGCTGCCGTGCATTGTTTGGTTCCACAGTATACATATCTTGATATTTTTCATAAATCTGTTTAAGTGGAGAAGAAAATGAATAAGAACAATAATTATTTAAGCCATAAATTCCTATTAGGATGTATTTAAAACAATGTAGAAATTTGATGTAACTATAACCATACAGTACATCACCTTTACAATAAAATTTAAATTAAAAAAAAAAGAAATTTGAAAGAGTCACTCTTTTCTTTCTACATTTTCAAATTTGAATATACCACTAAGGGAATATAAGTTAGTATACATTTGCTGCAATACTATTAGTTTGCTAAAATAGTAGGAAAAGGGGCTGGGAAGGTGGCTAAATGGTAGGATGCTTGCCTTGCATGCATGGGTTCGATTCCTCAGCAGCACATAAGCAGAAAAAGTAGAAGTGGTGTTGTGGCTCAAGTGGTAGAGCACTAGACTTGAGGTGAAGAACTGAGGGACAGTGCCCGCGCCCAGAGTTCAGGCCCCACAGCCTAGTGGTTTATTGGAGATAAGAGTCTCACAGACTTTCCTGCCCCGGCTGGCTTTGAACCGTGATCCTCAGATTCCAGCCTCCTGAGTAGCCAGTATTATAAGCGTGAACCACCAGCACCCAGCTTGTGATAGGGAAGCCTTTCCATTGTTCTCCCTTTGTGAGAGAGGGATGGATGGATGGATGGATGGATGGATGGATGGATGGATGGATGGATGGATGGGTGGATAATTTGATAGAGACAAATATAACAGAAAGATGATAGAAACATGAATATGAGATTTAAGTCCTGCCAAGTTTCATCAAGGCACCCCAGAGAGCTCCTAACTCACTTCACACAAAGAGGAATTAAAGATTATTGAATGTGATTGACCTCTACATTGAGTTTTGGTTAGAAGTATATGGTGCATTTCTTTGGTTTTTTATCAACTTACATGGTTACTGTATGTGTACATCTTATTTAGTCACTAAGTCATACCACATCAAAATTAAACTAGATGGTAAAATTAAATTCAGCTTCATTTCTGACTCACATTGGCATCTGACTATGCCTTCTCTAGTGGTGTCAGATGTACCTGGTTTCCATAGTTAGTAAAATCCCATCAGGAACAGGAGAATTAAAGTGAGGATGAAGGCAGGGAGCAGTGGCAATGTTTGTGACTGGAGGATTGAGCTGCAAAGGAAATCCCTTCTGCATGGAGCAGATGGAGTGCACATGCATGACTACACCATGTTTAAAAGCCAGTAACTGGCAGGTTTGGATAGTTTTTTGAGAAGTGAATCCAGGCACATATTTGAAACCTGATAAACCATGCATTTCTTTGGCACAACTCCAGCACTCTGCTCTACTACCAACAGGTTCCCCGCCTGGTCCCAGCTAAGCACTGGTTTCTAAAGAACACATGTGTTAACATTTACATATCACAAAGTATTTTAGTTTTACAATTACTTGTAGCTTTTAAGAGAGTAATACATTAATGGATTTACATCCATTAAGAGTATTTTAGTCTTAAAATTGATCCATTCAAACTATTTAAACAGTGACTTGGTCTATTTTCATTTCAACTAACCAAGTCATATTAAGTGAAATAAAAACCCCAGATATCATTTCCTCCAGCATTTCTATATATCACTGATGGCTAATGTTTTCATAGGGCAGATCATGGAGTCTGGTTTTAAACACAAAGTTATCTATGAAGAATTCTAATCAATACCAAGCGCTCTCATTTCAGCCTAAGATGGAATTCTGGAACATCAATTCTGGAATAGATTAATTGATTTAGGTTACAAATAGATAAACCTCAACATCACATTAATTGATCCAGTATATGTAGCATTTTGCAGTAAAACTAATAGAGCCAATTGGTGGGACACATAGCTGTGCTTTGCACCATTACTGTTCTGTGCATATTTCTGCAAAGTCTTAAGAGTCAACCTTCTGGGTTGGGAAGGTGGCTCAGTAGTAGAGTGTTTTCCTTTCATGTATGAGGCCCTGGGTTCAATTCCTCAGCACCACCTAAGCAGAAAAAGCTGGAAGTGGTGCTGTGGCTCAAGTGGTAGAGCGCTAGCCTTGAGCTGAAGAGCTGAGGGACAGCGCCCAGGTTCAGAGTTCAGGGCCCACGACTGGCAAAATAAAATAAAATAAAAAATAAAGAGTCAACCCTCTTTTGTACAGCGCAGGAAGTAAAAGATGAACATTGTTGATGGCAATTCATTCACTTGTACAAGTGTACTTCACAGTGTACTACATAGAATATGTCATTTTATTCAACCACATGTCCCAAACATATAACTACGTGTGTTAAAAGAACCAATGTATTATAAATCAATATACTTTTTAAGGTTGTACCTACCCTCTCAAATGTATGAAAAATATTATCACATGTTTTCATTCTGTTATAACTTTTAAATGCTTAAGAAATAATAGGTTTGGGAGGCTGAATGTCTCCAAAGTTTGTGTGTTAAAAAGTTGGTCCCAGGGAGTTAGTGCAGCTTTTGGGAGGCAAAGTCACTATGTCACTAGGGATAGTGTTTTGAGACAGGCGTCTCTTTCCTTTCTTCCTTCTGCTTCCTGGTCATGAGGAGAGCAGTTCTGCTCTTCCATTCACTGCTGGCATAATGAAGTACCTCACCACACACACAAAACTAAGAACCAATTGATAATGGACTGGAACTTCCAAAACTTAGTACAAAGGAACTTATTTTATTTATGTGAATTATCTCAACTATTTCACTGCAACAGAAAAGAACTATAAATCCTATGGATACAAATAAGATGACTCACAGTACCCCAATATAAATATCTAGTTATACTGTTTTTATACAGAAATCAAAATTAGACTGTATTCTTTATTAATAAAAATGGAGTCAAGGGGCTGGGAAGGTGGTTCAGTGGTAGAGTGCTTGCCTTGCATGCATGAGACCCTGGGTTCGATTCCTCAGTACCACATAAGCAGAAAAAGCTGGAAGTGGCTCTGTGGCTCAAGTGGTAGAGCGCTAGCCTTGAGCTGAAGAGCTGAGGGACAGCGCCCAGGCCCAGAGTTCAGAGCCCACAGCCAAAAAAAAAAATGGAGTCAACATTACATAACCAGCCTACCAAAAGAATTAGCTTTTTCCCGCTAGTTCTACAAAACACAATAGTCTTTGTTACTGTGAAAGTTATTTTAGAACTCTCAAACATTTCCTGATATGTTTGATAAACAAATATGGGTGTATAGTTTCATGTATATGTTTAAGATTGCATGATACATCTTTATAACATTAAACCCACTTTTCTTACTATCACTAAAAAAATTATATCACAATATTTAATATATTGGTGTGTTAATATATAAAACACAGTCTAAACTATTTTTCTTCTTAATTTTCTTTCTTGCTTAAATGAATATCTGATTTGTCACTTTATCCAGTTCCTTTTCTGAAAGAAATAACAGCATGGTGGAAATAAAATATGTTTTTATTGTGAGAATACCATACAGAGGAGTTACTATTACTTGGGCAAGATGAGTACTCTGTATGGTATTTTCACAATAAAAAAATAATAATAATATTTATCAAAATGGAAAAAAAATGATTGGATAATTCAGCAGATGTCATAGTCATTCTAAGTGAAAGGGATAAGTTGCAGGGCTCTTGAACACATTACATGGAAAATAAGATGCAAGTATTTCTCAGTTTTTTTTAAACAGTATCTACAAACTTATGACAGAAGCAGCTATAAGTGAACCTGTGATTCCGATGGCAATAAAGACAAGAAAGAACACACTCAAACCCACCTCAAAAAAATATATATATATATACACACACACACACACATACATACATATATAAGTTTTTGGCACCAAATAGAGCTCCATTCAAATCCTATCAATGTTCAACATGCTATGTGATATTGGGTTCATTTTTTTACTACTAGAAAGAATACAGTGTAGAGACAGAGTTGAAGACATAATGTTCCCCCTCCTGACTAATTCTATAAACTTTTTCTTCTCCACAGTTCAACCCTTCCTATTGCCACCAATCACACACCCTCAACAAGAAGAGTACTTGTATCCATTCTTCTTAGAATCTTAACTCCTGTTAATGTTTTTCACTGCTTCCATGACCAGTCCTCACTATGATAACATTCATTAGAACTTTCTTGCCTTGTTCATTGGAATTTTATTGCAAATCTCACTACATCAAGTTCACAGCTCCAAGATAATTTTCAAAATAATACATTTAAAATCACCAAAATAATACATTTAAAATCACATTTAAAATACTAGACATTATACTAGAAATTATCCCATGGAATGCAATAAGTACAGAAATATAAAGTATGTCTCCAAGTATTTGATGGCCCATAAAATTATTTTTAGTTGGTCTTGGGAAGCTTTCTTATATAATATATCCTATATCTTACATTATATATATATACAACCACATACATATATACACATATATACATATACTATTTATTCACTGTAAGAAACCTCAAAATTACACTTATAACCATGTATTAGGTTAGCTGAGGTTTTTGAATATCAGAGTGAGGGAAATTGAGTCCCATTTCATTGTAGGAGAGCAAATCACTATCCACAGCTTCAGTAGGTGAAAGGCAACATGATTAGTGAAATGGAGACTGCAAAGCCTCTCTGCACTTGAGTTTGCCTTGGATTCAGCAGCATGGAAGAATCCAGAAAGTGAGAATGGAGCTGAGGGTTATGGATCATCATATCTGAGACACAGACAGTGCAGCAACAATGGTGAAAAGTAAGAATGGAGAATATCTACATGAAAGCAACAAAAGAAAGCAGAAATATGCCCATACATCTCGTCCCTTACAACTATATGCTGAAAAGCAAATTTAAGAATATTAGTAAATAATGAGTTTAAGAGGGAATTTTGATATACTAAATGCTTTATTGATCACAGTAGATTGTTTTAACCTGAAATGTTCAAGTGATAATATTAATTACTCCTTCACTTCCTTAAAGAGAAGTGTTCAAACAGCTAATAAGTAACTTAAGTTGGTTCATGAGAAACACAACTTTCTTCATAAACTTCATAAACTT